ATTAGGAATAACTCCATAAAGTAAGATGACTTTATAATTTATTGTTTGAGCTTGGGCAATTCTAAAAGTAAAAGGTGGTAGTAATTATATCACAATGACTACTATACGTCAGAAATGAGTTTTGTGGGACAAGTAACTAAGGTAATGTAAATTGGCAATGTGGTAAATTCCCATAATAAACATACATACTCCTAGTGTCGGTTCCTATCAGAGAGCAGAGATGTCCCTCCTACACTAGTGGAGATTCATTTTTTTTTTTTTGAAAAAAAGCTAGCATCTAGAGTCAGTGAAATATTTTAGTTAAGAACTTATTAAGTAGCACATGAAGCTCTATAACTATAACTGTTGGAACCCAGGCATTATGTTCCATTGCCTGCCCGTAACTGAAGCGAAAGAACAACAGTAACCTTCTGAAGACCTGACTTACAAGACAATAGATAACGTTGGGGTTCCTGTGTCAGTGAGTGGACATGTCGACAAGGACTTAAAGATGCTGAAATCTCATCAAACTGAGAGAGGTGATACGGAAGACACTGCTCTTCAGGATACCATTTCTTCACATCCTGGGAAGATATTGGTGCTTAATCCTTCCCTGTGTGTTCAAAACCAAGGCTGTGTGAAGCCACAAAATGCAACACCTCGGAGTCATTATGCATTTGGGTCTGAATTAGTTTTATTATTGTTGTGCTCTCAGGAACCTTTCAGTGTTGCTAGATTTCCACAACCTCACATTGTTGCAGAATCCTGTCGTGATTCAGTTCCATAAGGGTTTCTGACTCACAGTTAAGAAGTTGTGAGGGCACTTGGATCTTAATTTCCATGTTACAAGAGAAAACAATGGAAAAGCATTTGGAGCACTCCCAAAACAATAGATAACTACTTTATGAAATAATCCTAAACTCCAACCCAGCCTGTTCCACATACATGAAATAACTTCCTCCATGTTAGGTAGGCAGTCCACAGCCAGAAGGGATGGGGAACACTCAAGAACTCCGTGAATCCTAAGTGGATCCAAAAGGAGCTACCACAAGCTCTCTATGAACCCTAACAGGGAATACCACAAGCCAAAAAGGTGGGGGGTGTTCTCACAAGATGGGCAAGAACCAAAGCCAAAGGTCCCTCTATTTCCTGGGGTCAGATTTCAACCAGCATACCCACTGTGCTGTTTCCTGGGTTATGGACTAAGTCTACCTACATCTCCTGGCTTTTGTACCATTTCTCCCCAAAGGCAAACTGTCATTCTCCCCTGCACCAAAACTACCATTTCTATTCTCTAGCTCCTTTGTACCCATTTCCTTTTCCTGCAGACATCTTCCAGGCCTCTGCCTTGTCTCATGTGCGCACACTTCCTACGTAAGTCTTTTCTTCCCATTCCAATTCCACTGCCTTAAATCAAGTACCAAAAAATAAAAAAACATTTCCTTCCTTTGAAGTTATAACAAGATCATTTCACTTATTAACCTCTGAAAGACCACCGAGTCTCATATACACAGCTTTTAGGAAGGCTTTCAGAAGTGCTGGGAGCAGTCAATGACCTAAAGCTTGCTCACTTCTCAGAAAGCCCAGGAAGTCCTTTTCGGTCGCAGTAAAGCTTAAGTTTTTGCCTTTCTTATTTTATAATCATTATCTATGCATATCACTTCCATATACTTGCCCTAAACCATCCTTCACTAACCTGAACAGTAACATAACCTTTATATTTTTAATTTCACTAATTTTTATAGAATTAATAAAATATAATTCAAGCCGGGCATTGGTGGTGCACGCCTTTAATCCCAGCACTCGGGAGGCAGAGGCAGGTGGATCTCTGCGAGTTCGAGGCCAGCCTGGTCTACAGAGCGAGTGCCAGGATAGGCTCCAAAGCTACACAGAAAAACCCTGTCTCAAAAAAACAAAATAAATAAATAAATAAAATATAATTTACATTCAAGCCATTTAAAGTGTACATTTCAATAGCTTTTGAAACACTGACAAGTTGTGTAGCCATCATTATAATCATACCGAGTTACTCTCAATCACCCTCACATTCCAGGCATCATCCCCTGTTCTGTCAGTGTGCATTGTAGTCTATGTTCTGTCTCTAGACTTGTGCCTATTCTGAACATATTTTTACAGATTCATTTTTATTTATGTGTATTATGTATGCCTGCAAGAGTAAATGCCACTTACGTGTCAGTGCCCTCAGAAACCAAAAGAGGGTGTCAGATCCCTTCAATCTGGAGTTACATGTTACATGGGTGCTGGGAGATGAACTTGGGTCCCCTGGAAGAGGACCTCTTAACCACTAAGCCATCTCTCCAGCCCCCAACTCTGGATGGTTTATAAAGAATTCTACACTGTTAATCCTTTGTGACTAGCTTTCTCATAGTGTAATGATCTCAATATTCATCTGTTATAGTTCACACAGTAGTTAATTCATTTTTACTGACAAAAAGAAATATACTACAGTGTGGCTGTAAAACATTTAATTTGCCTATAGTTGGACATTTGAGTTTATCTACTTTTTGGCTGTTATGACTATGCGGCTATGAAAGTCTATGTACAAGTTTAGTGTGGAAATTTTCTTTTCTCTTGGGAGTTGATATGGGTTGAACTGTATCCCCGGAAAAAGATATATTGAAGACTCAACCTCCAGGACCTCAGGATGTAGCCTTATTTGAAAATTAGGTCTTCAACAGAAATAATCAAGTTAAAATGAGGTCACTGGGGTAGCCACTAACTCAATAGTATTGAAGAAATATGGACAAGTGTAGGGGGCCGTTTCCTGCATTCTCCATTACAATAATGGTGCCTGAAGACACCAAAATGTAAATTACTTCACAGGCGCTGGGTAATCTCCATTCCTTTGATCTCTGCCTATCCTGTGGCTCATTTGGCCTGAGGAGCTGAAGCCATTCATAGGGTAACACGTCCCAGGCGGCTGCTTGCCAGCCTTTATTAAGGAACGGGATTCTTGGTTCAGAGTCTCCGCTCTGGTAAGCTTATGCTCTCCCAACTCTCAAGATGCATTAAAGCTTGTCTGCAGAAGGATCCGAGTGTCCTGCGTGTATTTCTTGCCGGCGAGAACATACAGCGCGCGCGCGGGACAGACAAGGACCCCTACCCCCACAGGAAGAACACATGGGAAGAAGACAGAAATGATGGTCTACAAGCCCAGGGAATATCAAATGCTGGCAGCAATCACCAGCATCTTGAAGATGAAGAGCCTGGACACAGAGGAAGACCCCACCCATGCCTTAGAACTTAGGAATTCTCGACTCATAAAATGAACTTCTGTTGTTTTAAGTGTCCAACTCTGGGCACTATCTTTACAGCTGCATTAGTTCACTAACAAAGCGTACAGGGGTGGGGCAGCCGGTCATGCTCAGGGTATACTGAATCCCTTTAGGAAGCTGCAAAATTGTTTCCCAAAGCCACTATACCATCTGATTAGGTAATTTTTCAATAAATCATTAATACATTAAAAATTTCCCTTAATTGCAGACAAGTCTTCTAATGCTCAACCTCATCTTCCATAGGTGTTTTCCCTTCACCTCTGCCACGGTGATGGCCTCTCTCACCACCATTGCAGAGATCCTTAACAACCAGTAAATTACCAGTGTGCTAGTGGGACAGGGAACATCTAGGGGAAAGAAATGTCTTTGTAGACCTAACCTTGTAGACAGGTAAAGAGTAAATGGTACTAAACAGCAGGAAACTTTTTCTAAAAAAGGGATCACTAGCTAAGGAAAAAGAACACTCTGATGGAGACGGTGGCATTTTCTTTGGAGCCTGATCACAAAACGATCAAAATTTATAGAATATAAGTTCTGTCGGAAATATTGGAATTTTAAATTTCAATTTGCTGTTCTAACTGAATCCTCAACTCCTTAAACAATAAATATTTATAATCTGTTAATGGCAGTTACATATAATTTAATCACATTTTAATTTTCCTGAGCAATAATAGAATCCTTTATATATTTGAATAAATAAGATATATCACAAAAACATGACCACTGTGTTTATCCAATAAACTCTGTAACAGCTGATAAGGCCTATAGATTATAGACTCTGCATGACAAGTGGATGTCAGGTATTCAAGTAATAACCTGGGTCTAGATAATGACACTAAAACTATGGTAAAATGTTCATATGAAAATCTCAAAGATCACATCCCTTTGGGATCAGTAACCTATCTCCTTTCACACAAAGCTTCAACCACTCCGATCCACAGCTTTTATGGAGGAATGGTGAAGCAAGAGATTCACGACCAGCACAGTGACGAGGCGGGGAAGACGTGGTACAAAACAATCAAAAGAACAGCTGTGGTGATTAGTGAAGGGGCAGCAAGAGTGAGCCTCGGTCACTGGCATCCCAGAATGGTGAGCCCAGAGTCCTCAAGAGTTCTTGTTTAGAATACAAGATCAAGTGATTGAAATAGACTGAGACTCCTGATCCTCTCCAAGCTCTTAGCAGAAATATGCAAATAAACCAACTCTTTCATTTCCCTCACTCTCACATTCTCATTGGCAGTGACTAAGCCTAGTCTGAGAAACTGGAACAAAAGAACTGCTCAGGAAATCCAGGTCTGAAAACACAGCACAATTGTTTGAAATTGGAGGAAAATAGACAAAACTGAATTCTAGATAATTTACTTAAAGGACTCAAATTTATTTTCAATTCTTAGCCTCTTTTCATTTTACAGCAGAAGCCATGTGACCCTTCAAATCAGAGCTTGTCAAAGTGCAGAGGCCCCAAAACAGCAGCTCACCTGTGCCTCTTGATTCTCAAACTCCCAGGGTGCAACCCACAACTCTGTCACAGTGAACCCCCCACGTGACTGACTCTGCCTCAGCCATGATGACCACCAAAAACGACGGGAGTTTTAGGTTATAGGACAGTGGTTTTTAAAACATGAAGTGGCAAGGGGCATGAAGAGAGGAGAGTGCTCTCAATTTCTAGAGGAAGACCCAACTACAAGCCTTAGCAAGCTCTAAAGCAAGACAGAAAGCCAGTACCTTCTAGGTGTTTCAGGAGGGCTCTACTGCTATTCCCGTGAGCAGATATCAGAATGGTTTTGCCCTTCAGTATTTCAGGGGCAATCCTTTCCTTCCAGTAGGGAAGAAGTCTTTCCAGAACATCTTTCAAGCTTTCGGAACGTGGCAGCTGATCCAGTGATACGTCACACACTTTATACCTCCGGTCATCGTAGATCTCATGGAAGTAGGGATGGGACTCCTCAATAGGAGGCGGGGTCACGTTGTAGCTTCTCCTCCAGAGCCTCACCTGCTCTTCACCATGATTCAGAGCCATTTTCTCCCTGTTAAGGCCAATCAAGGCTCCATAGTGACGCTCATTGAGACGCCAGGAGCTCTCCACGGGAACCCATTCCTGCCCCAGCTCTTCCAGGATCAGCCAGGCTGTGTGAATGGACCGGTTGAGAATGGATGTGAAGACTAGATCAAACTCAAAGTTGAGGGCTTTGAGTTGCTTCCCACAGTTCCGAGCTTCCTGCAGTCCATCACTGTTAAGTTTCTGGTCCACCCAGCTACAAAATCGGTTCTGCTTATTCCAGTCGCCCTCTCCATGTCTCAGTATAATAAGTTTGTGCTTGGACATGCTGGTGGTGGCTGAACTTCCCAAGTGTGCTCAATGGGGTAGTGCTCAAGAACTGCAGTATATCTAGAAAGAGAAGAGAAAAAAATACAAATTACATTCATTATTCAAATGACTACCCAGAAATGGAGAACAATTATACAACAGCCAATTTCTAAGATAAACTGAAATTCCTTTGAACAGTTTTGACGTCAAACATCTGGTGTTCATACACTGTGGCGTGAACAGGCACTCTTCAGATAATTACAGACAAGGCTGCTGACTTGAATTTTCTGATGGCCAGATAGTATGTTAATTGTATGACATAAAATGGCAACACTCCATTCTAATGGTGTGTTTCTACCCAACAAATAGGCAGTTTATGCTTATTAAGGAGACGACAAAAGAGATGAATTACAGATCTCAAAAAGAATGATTGGCAGCTGGGAGTGCCAAGCTCCTAGCAGTCGACTCTACACCGAAAGCATCCTTCTCCTTTTGAGTTGTCAGGGTTTTTCCAGTTTTACCTTATTATGGACATAATAAAGCACGTTATCTCATACATGCTATGCCATACATTCTCTCTGACGGGTAGGTGGCAACCAGTTCTTTGATACTACAGGCTCACAGATCTAAGGTCTGGGGAGACACTCTGGTTCATTCAATACTCAAACAGAGCAAATGTAGTACTCACTGAGGTAATTTTTTACCTGCTGTTGGCAGGAATAAATCCGGATGCAAAACAAGTTATCAAATGTAAGCAGCTGAGAGATGCTGCCTGCAGGAACAGATTAACAGAAACAGGTCTGTGGGAGTACAGGGAACCACGCCGATAAGAGGGCCTTGCCTCCTCCCCCGGCCTCCCGCCCCCACCCCTGCAGAAATTCTACTCACATCAGCCACAAATTGTGAGGATAATCTAGTAAAGCAACCCTAAAGCAATTCCACACTTCCTTCTGCTGTTGCTACTACCCCCGAAGATCTATGGGCCTACTCCGTCCCTTGGTTCTTCTAGATCTGGCTGCATCAGTCTGACTCTCATACTGTGGACAGGAGTAGGTCACCACAGACACACATTGCTCACTTGGCACTTCCATCTCCACCCCACTGTTTTTTCCACACTGGGGAGCAAAGATTGTATGAACACCAGGGCCTGGCTTCTGCCATTCTGGGCAACTTCCAGTAGCTGGAGATTTTCTGTCTTGCTTGAGCTGTGATTCACCCACAGTTATATAACAACCAGCGACAGGGGTTACTGGAACCTGTGTCTAGATTGTACTCTTTTTTAGTAATTCCTGGAGATTCCAAGGGGGAAAAGCTTCAATAAAATAAGGCTTTAGGAATAAGGGGTGGTGGCGGTGACTGAGGTAGTCTGTAAGCAGCCGAAAGGCTACAAGAATTAGAATTAAGATATCTTTCTTGCTGAGCATTCAGTTTGAGGCTTTAGTGTAATTGGAGGAGGGACGCACCCAGTGTCTAGAGGAACGAAGGCTCAGGTACAAGCACCTCACAAGGCAGAGCAACTGCAGGGAGACCTTCTCAGCCACAGAGGGGCACCAAGGTGGCAAAAGAGAGAAGAGGATGAAAGTCACCTGAGCCAGCTGACTCTTCAGGCCCAGGGGATAATCACATTGATGAAGCTCCAGCTTCAAGGATCTTCACCTGGGAAAGTCCAAGCAATGAACTCATGTGGATGGGTGTGGTACACAAGAGTGTGTGTGTGTGTGTGTGTGTGTGTGTGTGTGTGTATGTGCATGTGTGTGTGTGTGTGTGTCTGTGTGCGTGTGAATGTTTCATCAGCACACATGTCTGTGCAAGAAGAGGATGGCAGATCCCCTGGAACTAGAGTTACAGATGGTTGTTAGCCACCATGTAGGTGCTGAGAATCAAACCAGGTCTTCTAGAAGAGCAGCCAATGCTCTCAAATGCTGACCCATCTCTCCAATATTTTTATATTCCTGCTTTGAAAAGCCTCCATCAGCCAAGTAATAGAAGCTTCGTGCCTAGTGAAAACCATACTCAACCTTGTAAATTATGTGTTTTGTTTTGTGGGTAAGAAATGAGAAGCAGACAATCCTCTCCTCTGGCCCTTAATTTGGCACATCAAGCACAAAGCCTCCAGGCTAAAAGGTTAGTGAAGGAATTTTCCCTTCAAATGAAGAAGGCCATCCTCTTGGTGTTAACTGTTGACAATCTAGAATTTCTTAGGAGATGGCCTCTGAGCATGCCTGTGGAGATGATCTTGACCATGTGACTGAGGGTGGGGGCATTCCCTGATTGAGATCCAGGACTGTAGAAAAGCAGAGGGAGGCAGCACAACCCTAGCATGGATGCATTATTGCACTGCTCTGCGCTTGACGGTGGGTAAGATGTGACTAGCTGCTTCCCACTCCTGCTGCCTTGATTATCCTGAAATTATGGACCATAACCTGAAATTGTGAGCTAAATAAACCCTTTTTCCTTCAAGCTGCTTCTGTCGGAGTATTTTATCACAGTGATGAAAGGAAACCAAGACAGGCATGGTGGACAAATTCTATAAGCAAAAGCATTTCTCAATCAGTTCTGGATTACAAATTATATCAAGGGAACCAAATGAGTAGCGATGGCATTATCAGTACCCAGATACCTGCCACTGAGCTTCCCAGTATCTTAATCTGCTCCAACTGCTTTGTTTTTTTAACAAACAATCCTGACATCCTTTTCACTGAAAATATATATAGTGGAGCAGAACTATACTACAGCCACAAAACTACAAACACACACTTTCCTTCACACTGACCTATTGGAGGTAAGCAAAGGATGAAGTAGCAAACTAGACCATCTATCTCAGGTAAATTCAACTTCCTTTTACTAATTTCCTATTGAACTAGCTGCCCAAAGTGTGCAGAGGCACTGTTGAGGTGGCAACCTTTAAGATACCTCTCTGTCAGTATTTGTTGAAGCTGGCCTATATCAAATGTTTTGCAGTAGGTACTCGTCTGGAGACAACTCTTATGGAAAGATGGGGCTTTCCTATAACCCGTGTTCTTTCTTTCTTCCTCACCACAGGGCTCTGTGTGTGTGTACATGTGCATGTGTGTGTGCGTGCGTGTGTCTGTCTGTCTGTGCTGTAGTCTCAGTTTGGGAATCCAGGCTCCGTGGATTTCACTTTACAGAGGCATCTCTAGTCACAACTTTCTCTTCAGATCTACGCACCCATTTCAGAAAATGTACTGAATCACGTGAATACAGAGGAAAGTGTAGCTCATCACTGCTAAGCCTCGACACACCAGGCAGTCACTGCAACTAATGAAGAGCTACCGTTGTAATGAAGAATAAATCCCTCTCATCCCAAATTAAAACCCATTCCTTTAGAACCTCAATAAAACCTTCGTTTTTATTGTTTTTGTTTGGGGTAAAGCCCACCACCCTGCAGTTGGTTCTCAAGGGTGCTCTTTTTGTCCCTCAGCCAGTGACTGACACTGAACTTAGATGCTAATTCTCAATTAGTTTACTATCAAAAATGGCTGCATAGGCTACTGGGTTATTATTTCCTGGAGTTTCTTCCTCTTATTATTTATTAAATGTGTGTGGGTGTTCTGTCTGGATGTCTTGTCTGTACACCACATGCAGTATGCCTGGTGCCCATAGAAGCCACAAAGGGAGTCAGGTCCTCTGGACTGGACAGACAAGTGTGAGCCACCATGTAGGTGCTGGAAATTGAACCCAGGTCGTCTGGATGAGCAGACAGTGTTCTTAACGACTGAGCCATCTCTCCAGCTTCTTCCTTTTAAGAGTATAGTCTGCTTGAAGAGAGTTTATTAAACCAATGTTACATGACTCTCACTCATCTTCCCTTCCTTTCTCCCCACTGTTTTTCCTTCTGTCTAGACATTTCTTTCTCCCCACTGTTTTTCCTTCTGTCTAGACATTTCCTTCTTATGATTTATGGGTACATGTGGGTATGGCATGTATACACACTTTACTTATGTATGCACGTGCGTGCATGCGTGCGTGCGTGCGTGTGTGTGTGTGTGTGTGTGTATAGGTCAGAAGTTGCTGGCCAGGTGTTTTCCACATTATTGATGTTGTTGTTGTTATTATTATTATTATTATTATTATTATTATTATTATTATTGGGACATGAGTTCATGTTAAACCTGGATCTCACCAAGATGAGCTGGCCAGGAAGCCTCAGGGATCCTCCTCTCTTAGCCTCCCCAGGTAACATGCTTGGATTACAGACATGTACCACCAAGCCTAGTTTTTTACATAAACACTGGGGACCTAAGCTCAGGTCTTCATCTTTGTACAGGATACGCCACCTCCCCTGTCCTAGACATTATTCCCTTAGTCCTCAAAGAAGGTGTGCCTTCTCTACTCCGCTGAAGCAACTTCTCAAAAGACTAGGATTAGTCACTTCTACATGGAGACCGTCTTCTCTCAGGTCCCATGCTACTCTGACTCTCCTATACCCATCACGTCCTCAGTGGACCCTCAGTCCTCACCCTAGCATTTGGTCCTGCATTTCCTCCAGCTCTCCTACTTTTACACCCTGGCCTCAGATTTTTGTTTTATCCTACCTCCACCTATGCTATGATGATGGCAGTGGTGGTGACCTTAACCACAGCAATTAATCCAAACTGCATATTGCAACCTTCGGCCATGCTTTATGCAGTAATTTCTATTATGCCCATTTTACAGATGCAGAACTGAAAGGAAAAACTTGCCTAAAGTAACATGGGTTGTACATGGCAGAAATTCAGCCTCAGTGGCCCAAGGACACCTTCACACCCTGAGCCATTCTGCTACACTGATACTGGAACTCAAGGCTCTGACCACAAACCTTGACAGCCCAATTTTTTTCTCACTATTTTCACCATGATAAATGAATGACTGATATGCTGAAAGCCCATCTTTGTGAGCCTTCCCAGACCTATCCACTTCTTGGGTTTCCGAATGTGCAGAAATACAATTTGGGCACAGCACAATGATAATCCTGTGAGGAACAGGGCTCCAGCAGAGATTGTGTCTTCAAAAACACCAGTGTGGGAAGGTGTACATGCTTGTGTGCCACTAAAAGTGAAAGCAGCTCACACCATGAGAAGCTTTTCATTCATAGAGAGGAAGAGTAGGGAGAGATTATCTCTCTCTTCATGGACATGGCATTATTTGAGGTGGATTTGGAAAGACACTTAAATTCAGATTGACATAAAAAAGGAACAGAGTTCTAGCCGATGGCAACAATCAGGAAGAGGTGAACAGAGAGAACAGTAGGCCCATTCAATATGGCTGGAGTTGTAAGTAGGCACTGTTCATCCTGATTTGCCTCAAATGGTACTGCTTTGCGCTTTTTTCCTTCCCCACATAAGTATTATTATTATTATTTATTATTAAGGCCCCTGTATGGGACAGTGTAAGCCACACCTGCTAGAAGCTGGCTACAGGTGTGCCTAACCACGCCCTAATGGGTGTGGTCAAGGTGAGGTCAGAATGACTCGAGATAGGGTTTAAAGGGACAAACAAGGCACATGGGAGCCCCTTCTCTCTGGCCTCCCTGGCTTGCTGCCCCTGGCACGCTCTGGCTAGCGTTCGGCTTGTGTTTATCTAATAAAGGATATCTTAATCTCACAGGTTACTAAGCTCCTTCATTAGGCCTCCTTCACACCTATTTGGAAAATTATATGGCCACTCTGTATAGGGCATAATCAGGAAGTAGGCGGAGACTAATCTAGAAAGATAAAACTGGCTCCAGGAAGACCTTGTGCCAAAGAATGCAGACTGTGCTAGAAATATTGAGACATCATTAAAAGGTTTAATAGCATGCATTTGAGGACCAAGCAGCATTTACACTCACAGACAAGTACAAATATTAGTTGTGGGGGGTTTTGCAGTCACCCTGGTAACATAGAATGACAGCCTGGACCAGGAAGATGGCTGTTAAAAGGAATAAAGAAGAATAAGAAAAAGAAGAATAAAGAAGGAATAAAAAAGAGTAAGAAACTATAATTTAGCTAAGATGCTAAGATCTTGGTAATATTCCCTGTAAAAATCTAAACAGTGCAGTTTTTTGGTTTTGTAGACTATAAGATCTCTGTCAGAACTAAGTACAATTGTATAATTCTGTCTCGGTGACTGAAAGTATCTATATGCAATGCATAAGTTAGTAAATGTGATATAATCTGATGATGGCATCAAAATTAGAATTTCATATAATTTTCATGTTATATTTTTTATTACTAGGTTAATTTTTATCAATTTAAAATCCAAAAAAAAAAAACCCAAAAAACAAGCACACCCATTTATATCTGTGATCTAAAGAAAAATAATGGGCCAGAAGGCTTTGGTCTGGAAATCCCTGCCTAGCTAGACCCCACACTTGGATGTGTTCTTCACACTAGTATTTCTGGCCTTAACCAAGTATCCCATCACAGAGGACAGTCCCAACACTATAAAATAGCTGGCTTTTAGTGGCACTTTGTTTTGAAGAAACAAAACAAACAAACAAACAACAAAAATCACCAGCCTTTCACTCTTGGCCAGAAATGCAAAGTACCTCAGGTAATGGAATCCCATTCACAGTTTTTTTTTTTTTTCCTCAAAGAATAAAACACTAAGCACACCGAAGTCAGTCTGAATACCCAGTTTGTGCTTAATTCATTATTTAGGAAGAGGTTCAAGGGGGAACTATGGGAAAATGATTCACCTGTTAACCTCTACAGAACATATCTTGCAGAGTTTTATACTAAAGTGAATGTCTATTTGTTCAGAAGCAGGTGCTATGCAGCTGTCTTAGCAACAGAGTCAAACAGGTGATTTGAAGAGTACTTTCGTGGGTTAGTTATAACTTTCTAAGACCTTTCATTATAGTATATGTAGAAATATATATATATGTGTGTGTGTGTGTGTGTGTGTGTGTGTGTATACATTCCATCTATATTATAAAACCAAAGGTTTTTTTTTTTTTCACTATAAATGCCACCGTGAAGCTATGCTTCAAAATTAGTATTCATTTGCCAAGGCAGAAACAGGGCTGAGAGGCGACTGATGGGCGTGTAAACAAGTTTACTAAAGTTACTTCTTATCTCAGAACCTCTAAGTATGTCAACATTTGCAGCATGCCCATCTTGCTACTGCTTCCTACTCCTGTTCATCATTAAGCCGCATAACTTTGCATATTCTTTCCCTCTTCTGTTTACAAATTAACACTGCTAGGACTTTGCTTCCTCCTTCCCTCAAGTGTGTGAAAAGTAATGTACACTTAAGACTCTTGTAGCATAACTCATGAAAAGATGGAGACATCAACAGTGTGAAACAGAACCTAAACTTTTACTTTCTTCCAGGTTCAAAACGGCAGCAATATGTCATGTAATATCAAATAAGGGACATGGGAAATATGTAAAATGAAAAAATAAATTTTTTAAATTAAAAAAAAAAAAGAAATCCAGGCTGAAGAATCCTAAAACAAACTAGAAAAAAAATTAAATATCCCAAACCACCTCAGAATTCTCTGAGGTTTTCCTTAGTTCAAACCCTTCCTGTGACGCTTTCAGCAACCTTTACTTCTCACTGCACGAGGGATTTAACTTTATGGAAGATGAGCGTGCTCTATCTGAGGACAAGGAGAAAGACTACCAATGTCTCCAACCAACTAAAAAGGACCATCAGTGTGATTCTCCTGGGCTGGCGGTATGAATATACTCAAAAATCTAGAATAACGTAGCAAGAAGGAAGGTTAGAGGAGACGCTTAAACAAAAGAAAGAAAACTGCCATCCAATGTGGGTGAAAGAGAATGTGGAATGAATGACGCCATCCTAGAAGCATACCGACTACCGTGAGATTCTGCAACCCAAATGTGCTAGTAAAGAGGCCAGTGTCAAATTTATAGTCTATAAAGTGCTGTATCGCCATATTTCCTACTGAGAGGGTTTTATGAGCGATACCTGTTGATCCAGGGTCTCACTATGTAGCCCAGGCTGGCCTCAGTTTTGCAGCAATTCTCTTGCCTCAACCTCCTAAATCCCTCCATTGGAGGACCATGGCACCATGCCCAGATACCACTACCTTTTGTTCTGCTTCTCCATATAAATATCACTTCACACTTGATTTCAATCCAAGAATGCCCAAGATGCCACCAGTGCAAGTATTTTTTGTGTCCTCTGTTTTCTAGACACATAAAGTTGGATTCATGGATGATGAATTTGGATTATATCAATCACTACTTAAAGTGAAGCAACCCTAATAATTTCAACAAAACATAAAAGGTAAAGAGGAAGAGAAACTAAAAAACAAACAATCCAAACACTAATAGTGGTTACCTCACAGTAAAGAGATTAAAGATGACTTTTTTGCTACATTGTACTTCTATACTCTCCTTTAATTTTTTTTCTTTTTTCTTTCTTTTTTTACAATGATATGCTTTGCTTGGTTCCATTTAAATATGGGCACAAAAGAACACATCCTTGAGGCTGGGCACTTTTATTTGATAGACTTTATATAGAACTCAATGCTGTGAGATTTTCCTTGTGGACTTAGTAGTGAAAATTTGTCTAATCATTTTTATTTTTAAGTAGACTTTAATGAGGGTATGGGCCTCAGAAATTGGAAAAATCAAAAGTCAGTGCTGAAATGATTTAAGATCACTCAAATAGTAACAACTTCTGAACTAAAGCCAGTGTCATGGCTTCTAATTCACTGTTCTTTAGTTATGCTATTTGTTGGAAGTATGCCTTTTAAAATTCCAGCACTATCCTGGGAGTATCTACAGTGTGTGAGGTGCTATAGCAACAGGAAAATGGGTAAAAACCTAGTTTCTGGATTCAGGGGGGACAGTTTTAGAGACAAATTCATATGGCTTCTGCTTCCATTATAAAAAAAAAAAAAAAAAAACAAACAAAAAAAAAAAAAAAAAAAAAAAAAAAAAAAAAAAAAAAAACGTTAGTACCTGCTGACGAAATGTATCAGTTTGTTTTTTATTTCCTTCTGGAGTCTGAATTCTGTTAGTTCACAAACTATAATTCCTTTGCAGGGGGGTCATCCTGCAAAGCCTAATAGTAAAGCTAATTACAATTTTGCTTTTCTTCTGACCTACTGTAGTGAAATGCTGGCTCCTATCCCCTAGAGCAAAAGGAATTACACTTTTTGGACGTGGTGGAGGTTGTGGTGGTGGTGGTGTGTGTGTGTGGGGGGTGTTTTTAGTGCTCCCCTGAACCTGTAATTGGCTACAGAGATCACTACTTATGAGACCTCTTGGCCTTCCATGGCTTTTTCCCCCGCTTCCCCTGGTTAACTTACACTTTCAGGGTCAGGTCTGCCGCCACCTACATACAGAGCGAAGCCCCGCTGCCTTCCTTCCAGGGGAGCTACTAGCCAAGACCACTGCCACAGCCCTGAGAGCCCAGAGAGCCCTTCAACATTCCTGAAAGCCATCAGCACTCTACTATCGGTGCATCCTCCAGCCGACACCACCCCCTGTTGCTGAGGGAGGCGATCTGAGAGAGGGGCAGCTGAGAGCCGGGGGATCCCAGAGGCTCGCCGCCCGAGGAGCAGGCGGAGCGGGCGGAGCGGGCATCCCACTCCCACCAGGCGCCAGAGCCGGGCAGGATAGGAGCCAGCCGGCCTTCTCACGATACAACGCCACGCCACTCAAAAAAGAAACAAGAAAAGAAACTCTCCCAACTGCAACACGCTACAACGGAGCCACTCACCTGCCCGGACACCGCCAGCAGCCGCCGCTCCGCTGCTGGGAGGCGAGCACTCATCTCGAATCACCGGCACCGGCGCTCTTTTCTAGCCCCGCAGCCAGGTTGGGCAGGACTGATGGCGCCGCGTATTGGAGGACATGGCTGTCAATCACCAACGGCCCCGCCCTCCCACGCGCGGCCGGCTCCGGGTTCTTTCCGTTGTCCCCAAGCCCTCCGGTAAGAAGGGAGGTTCTGATTGGTTTAACGAGGAGACGGACGCACGGCTGGACCAATAAGATGGTAGTTTCTCCGTGCGTGGGCGGGCCTTGGCCGTAGAGACACATCTCCTGGGCAGTTGAGGAAGCTGAGGCCTGCTGGCCGCTCCCAGAGCAGCTGGGCGTGCTAGAAAGCGTGAGGTGTCAAAGGGAAACACTGCCGTGACAGAGACCAGGTGGCATGTCTTTTAGTCAGCGGGAAATTTCAGATTTTCTGCCCAGGCGATGTCCACGGCAGCTCGGTTGCCATGCGTACGTCTGCGTTGTAAGTAGAGATTTGAAGGTCTGATGTGTAGACGGTGGTTCGTTCTTACTTCCCCCCAACCTTGTGAAGGGAAGAGAAACAAGCAGCAGAAAATCCCGCTGAAGCTACGACGCGATGTTTGAAGCACGTGTCAGAGTTTGGGGGTGGGCGAGAAAGATAAATGGCGTGTTTGCCGACAGCACAGGAAAGTCTCCCCTCTTGATTTCTTTCTTTTTTTTTTTTTTTTCTTTTTTGTTTGTTTGTTTTTTGAGACAGGGTTTCTCTGTGTAGCTTTGGAGCCTATCCTGGGCACTCTCTCTAGAGACCAGGCTGGTCTCCAACTCACAGAGATCCGCCTGCCTCTGCCTCCCGAGTGCTGGGATTAAAGGCGTGCGCCACCAACACCTGGCTTCCCTTCTTGATTTCTGAAGGCTGTTCTGCGGAGTATTTAATGTCTCCTGGGTTTTTCCTAGTTAACCCAATAAACAGGTCCAATAAGTTTGTGACCAGCTAACAGGTTCTCTGGTCAGTTATCCATGCATACATGTAGGAAGATAATCTTGCCACACATCAAGCTTCTGTGACACTTTGTGAACTGATGACACATTATGAACTGATGACATTAAGTCTGCTTGCAGCAAGTTGTATGCCCCACTTACCCATTTTAGCACAGGATAATTGTGCCTGGCTTTTTTCAAAGAACAAGCCTTCATTTCGAGAAGTTTCAAAACCTGGCAGGTCCTCCAGGTGATTGGCCGTCTTACCAGTAATAGTTGTAGCTTGAACAAGATTTAACTAGCGTTCAGCGGGGAACACCTGGAGGAGGGGGCTTCCAGTCTTAACTGTAGGAAATGCAGTTTCCCAAGCTTACAACTTGCCAACCTGTTCCTTTTCTTCATGCAGATGAGGACAGGTGAGGCAGAAAACATTTCTACTATAATATCAATTTCTACTGTAATACCAAAGTCTTCTACTCAGGAAGGGTGATGCCAGCCATTAAAAAACCAATCTTAAGAAGCAGTCATTCCCAGCTGGGCAGCGGTGGCACACACTTTTAATCCCAGCACTCAGGAGGCAGAGGCAGACAGATCTTTATGAGTTCGTGGTCAGACTGGTCTACAGAGTGAGTTCCAGGACAGCTGAAGCTATCCAGAGAAACCCTATCTACACAACAAAACAAACAAACCAACAAACAAAAAGCAGCCACACAGCATTTGACGTTTTGGGATACCAGAACCTAAAAATGCCTACTCATTTGATATACTTTGATGTTGTTATGAGTACCCAATAATGCTAGCTTGTCATATAAAAGTTTAACTATACTTGTCTCTTAGAATTATTCCCCAGAATCATTAGTATATGTATTTTTATATAAGAGAAACAATTTTATCAGTGGTTCTCTTAAGTAGGAATTAAAAAGCGAATGTTTGGAGCAAGCATGGTCTTTGTGAGATGGATATTAACAGAAGCTAACAAATGTCAGGAGTCACTGTTGTCATAGCAGGGTTGTTCTCATGGTTATCTAGATAAGACCTTGTGTTCTGATCTGTCCATGAACTGTTTTCCTTGGGAACATTAAAAGACTGAGTTTGTGCTCACAAAGATTACCATAAACCCATTTAAGGCAAAGATGACCTTTAAAAATATTAGACAAATGCAGTATTTCACAGGGCCTCCCAAAGAAACCCATCTAGCTCATTTGCACAAATGAATAAACTTAAAGTTATTTGATCAGACATAATTAAGTATTTTTAGAGGATTGAGACAAAACCCCAGTTACCAATTTATAATTCTTGGAAATGTTTTCTTCTCACACCCTCACGCCCTCCTCCCATAAGCAATATACCCCAGTCATGAGGAGTTTAATTCTGAGGCTGGAGAGATATTCAGCAGTCAATACCACCCTTGCAGAGGACCTGAGTTCAGTTCCTAGCACCCATATCTGACATAACTCCAGCTCCCGGAGATGAGCATCCTCTTCTGGACTCCATGGGCACCTGTATTTACATGTGCACTCTGTCCACATAACTAAAACACAGTAAGAAAGCCAGATGTGGTTGTCAATGTCTCTAATCCCAGTAAAGAGGCAGAGGCAGGCAGATTTACGTGAGTTCAAGGCCAGCATGGTCTACATAGTGAGTTCCAGGAATACCAGGACTACAGTGAGACCCTGTCTCAAAAGGAAGAAAAAGGAAAAGAAAAGTCACAAAAATGAATTTTTAAAAAACTTAAAATGAGGAATTTCATTTTGGTTCATTTCAACTTTTGATGTAGTCACACTTTCATCCAAATAAATGAAAAAGTAATAAATTATTTTAACCCCGTTGGCTGTCTTTATTGTCTTCATATATTGAAAAGTCAGTATCAGCCCACTGATACCTTGAGAATTGTTCCATTAATAACCTGATTAAAGTGTCATTTTATGGTAGCCTAGTTACCTGGTCAAAATAACTTCACAGCTGTGTATGCAGAGACCCTAGCCTTTTACAAGTAGGAATGAGCTGGTTCATGAAGCATAAAAACATTCTCCATAGACCTTTATCTAATTTAGCAGATAGTTTACCTTTATCTAGTTTAGTCTACCTTTATCTGGCTTAGCAGAACCATTGTCTTTCTTCAATAAATTACAGAGTTAGTCCTCTATCCCATGTATAGGACTGTCTGTTTATCTTAACATCGTGAGCTGGCTGTTTGCTGCTAGTAGTCTCCCACCAACTCTTTCTTTTTCAAAGTCGGGCTAATCTAGTGCAGTGGGCCCGCTTTGTCTGCCCTTTCCCATTGACCGGAGTACAGGTTCCCCTTTCCTGAAACTAAAGAGTGTATGTACACACATGTTGCCAATACCATAGGCTCATCTGCCATTACATTCCATCTGCGGCTTTTCAGCAGCTTCCTGATAAGTCTTCCTGAATCTGCTTTTACTCTTGGGGAACCAGGCTGGAACTAGTAGGAAACCTTTGTGATTACGCACAGGAGTCCTCCTCCCTGCCTCCCTCCAGCTGAGAGCAGTGCCTCTCTATTGTTCCTCACAGAGACCTTCCTTTCTCCCTGGGTCAGGGCCTTACCCATGTATTTTTCTCTAGATGTGATGTATATACTCAATGTTAACTCCAAAAAAAAAAAAAAAGCCTGAAAAAGCATATAATTCTGTTTATTTTAATTTGTTTTTCTGAGTCAGTATCTTACTATCTAGTCTAGGCTGGGCTCTGGGCTCAGACCTGCTATGTAACCCAAGCTGATCTTGAACTCATATTCCTCCTGCCTTAGCCTCCCAAGTGGTGGGATTACAGGCAAGTGCCTTGCCAGCCTTTTTTTCTTTAATATTTACCTTTTCCAGATTACTTAATTATAACTGTGTATTGAGCACAACGTAATAATTTGATACATGTATACATTGTATCATGGATATGATGGTAATATTTCTATCCCTGTAAACATCATCTCTTTGTGCTGGGATCTTCTGCACTACTTCAATCTAGTTCATTACAGAATGTATAGTCATTGTAAAGTATAGTCACCTTACTGTGCTGTAGAAGAGCAGGACTAATCCCATCTAACCATTTGGATAGCAGTTTCTCAAAGCCGCTATACCCTACCTCGCCTTGCAAGCCTTCAGTAACCACTATTTCGCCCTATACTTCTCTGACATCAATCTCTTGAGTTTCCACATGTGAACAAAAACTTGTGCTTGCTTTTCTGGTCCTGGCTTACTTATTTTGTATACAGTGTCCTTCAGTTCCATCCCTTCAGCTCCCTCATTTTTCAGCTGAGAAAAAGGCACAATGAGTGTGAAAGCAGTAAGGATAAAGGCAGTTAAAGCTGAGGGTTAGAGTTTCCTGTCCTACAGGAAGAGCAAATGTGGATATATTACTGGGAACTAATGATCCATTAGAGAACAGAGTAATGATAGATCCAAAAATGTACAGTCTTGTCGGTGTGCATTCTGGGAACAGTCTGCCTGGTTTCCACAAAGGACTATATTCTGAACTAACTGTATAATCTGTGGCAACTTGTTTAACAGCTGTCTCTCATTTGGTTATAAAATGGTCATAATAATTTTAATTATCTCATAAAATTATGTATTTAAAGAATATCTTCTTTGCATGGCAAGAACTCAATAAATTCTAGGGTTTTGTTTTTTTGGGGTTTTGTTTGTTTGTGTTTTGAGACAGGGTCTATCTGTGTAGCCCTGGCTGCCCTAACTTCCCTGTAGACCAAGATGGCCATAAACTCACAGAGATCTGCCTGCCTCTGCCTCCAGAGTGCTGGGGTTAAAGGTGTGTGCCACCACCAGCCAGCCAGTAAAATATAGCTTTAAAAAGTCTCAATATGTTTCAATATAGGGGCTGGAGAGATAGCTCAGTGGTTAAGAACCTTTGTTGCTCTTGCAGAAGACTCTGATTGGATTCACAGCACCCACATGGCAGATCACAGTCATCTATAATTCCAATTCCAAGTGATTCTTGACATCTGCAGGCACCAGCTCCATATACAATGCACAAACATGCCAGCAAACACTCATACACATAAAATAGAAATCTTTTTAAAAGTGTCTCAATGACCCAGTACAATTTCTTACATATATTACCAAATTCACCTGATTGATTTTCTCATTTTCTTCTAAGAAAAACAAACGCAGTGTGCCACTTGGAGGCCTTCCAGGACAGCACATGGCTGGTCCAAGCAGATAAGGTTACAGGGGCTACGCTAGCGGAAAGGCACATGATTAAAGTGCTGGGCCATATGTGTCAGTCAGTCAGGTGAGAAAACATGACACCTTGGGGTCTTGAAAAGTTCAAAGTTCATTTCAAAGACATCTTGAATACCATAGGAAATTACAACACACAACAAAAGTCAATCCGTGATGAAATCATCTTAAGCATAAGATGAGCTCTTTTAAGGCCTGGAGAGATGGCTGAGCATTTAAATGCACATATTCTCACAAAGGACTGGGTTCAATTCCCAGCACCCAATAGGGAGTCACAACTGTCCATACTTCTAATTCCAGGGGATCTGATGCCCTCTTCTGACCTTCATGGACACCAGACACAGACATGTATGCAGACAAAACACACAAAATAAATTTTTTAAAAATTTGAACTGGAAAAATATTTAAATTAGCCCTTTTAACATCAATTATTCTTTCTTTGGGTGTAAGTATTTGAGAGGCTACTTGCAGTGCCAGATAGCACTATCTAAAACAATGTTCTTCACTGGCTTAGAGAGCTGTTTCTATAGTTACTATCTCTAGGTGCTGTTACTGTCTTCTGAGGAGAAGCTGTTTTACCTACAGATCCACTACTCCAACATAAGGCAAACAAAACTCATGATGTTTCATCTATATCCTCATACAGTCCTCATACAGTCCTTATAAAATAAATTTGGGAAATAGACTGGTTTCACTTGTTAGGAAGTTTTCAAGGAAGAAAGAGTGAAAATAAATAATTTGTCACCAGGTTTGTCTCCTCATTCAGAACTGACACCTGAAGTTTGGTTTCTCTGTGATGGGCAAGTGCCCTGGCCAGTCTCCAAATGGCTGCTCTGTAAGGTATCAGACACACAGAGAGAAATGTGTTGGCAACCACAGCATGGAAATCAAGAAGGAGGAAGTGACACACTCTGCCTCTCAAGTGAGAACTAACGAAAAGACATCTGTATCAGGTGGGTCTAGGAAAGACGATGTACCAAAATTCAGGTTGTTGGGACCCATGTCCACTCTGAAGCAAGGAGCCCCAATGCCCAGTGACCTGCTTTCTTCACTAATGGAGCACCAGGCATATACACAGGCCAGTATATCTATGCATTACTAGAGATTTTTCTTTGTAGGGCCCATAGGAAAGGGACATGTGCTCTCTACTCCAAACTCATGATATTGGGCAAAACAAGAGAACAGTATAACAGAATACTATGGCAAATTCTCTCCTTATGTATGTCTTCTGTAAATTCAGCTGTTTCCTTCAGAAAGGGGGGGACCCTGTCTCAGACAGCACATCAAACTGAAAAATAATCAATTGCACTTGAGTATCTTCTAAATTTGGGAGTAATTCAGCTCTGCATAAATGATCACTCCGGCTTGATGTTCAAGGAAATACCCATCCCCCCACACACATCCCAAGCAGTTATCCTTGTAACTCACAATCCTTGACCTGAAAGGAAATATTTAATTCACTTCATTATGTCACCTTTCTGTCTTTAAAGTTTAATAGAGCTGGTAGGACTAGAAGCTCTCTTGTAGCACTCTTGAGAACCATGTTTTTGTTTATTAAATATGTACATCATAATCTGAGTGAGTGGGAGAGAATCAATGCTTTGGTTGCTTATAAATTATAGATGGAGTTTCTGAGTACTCTTTAAAAAAATGGGGCATAGTTTTACTGCTGCTTGAAATCCCTAAGAACTTACGTGACATAAAAGAGCCTTTGAGACAAGACAGTGGATGATTCTGGTTATATAAAACGAGCAAAAGGCAAAGTTGCAGAGATAAACTACAAGAGGGCATCGGGGAACTTCATAGGTAATGAAAGTGTATTCCCAAATTGGCTGATAGTGACGGCTACATGTTGTGTTAAACTTGTCAAAATTTACCACTGTATTCTTAAAATGGGTAATTTACATCTAAAACTTTTTAGTGACCATTGGCTTTGGAGAAACAGGAAGAAGTGGACAAATTCTTGCCTTTGTCTAGTTGAGAATAAGTTAATTAAACTCCCTACTCTTCAGGACTCTTCTGTGAAGCAGGAATAATATCCAGCTTTGGCTTATTGGGAAGTTAAAATAGGATAATTTAAAGAATTTGCTACATAGGTGTCTAGTATTTGTTAGTTCCTTTTCTCTCTCAGGGGTGCTTAATAAGTAGTTATGTCCACTGTCTGCCAGGTTCCTGATTACTGTGTCATGAAATGCAGTAAGAACAGCTGTAGCTTCTTCTAGTGTCCTTGCCTTGCAATGTGACTCTGTTATCCCCACCACTTACTGTCCCTCTTTCTTTCCCTGCCCTGCAAGCACCAATTTTCTCACCTATTATTCAATTCTATTTCTCTGTACTTTTGTACATCCTATTCTTTCTTCTGCTGGGGAGGGTATTATGCGTATTGTGCGTGCGTGTGTGTGTGTGTGTGTGTGTGTGTGTGTGTGTGTGTGTGTGTG